ATTCGAAACGTCATTGCGAGTTTCGACGTTATTACAAATAAAATAATATAAGGAAGAAGAGATAAGTTGTAATTAAATATCTCGGGTGAGAGATGCGATCGTTTCTCGTTCGATAGCGATCAATCACGCGTGTCTGTCACGACGCGTAATTACGTCCGGTCTCAGTTATATATATATTGAGCATATGGACGGATAAGAAAAAAGAGAGAGATCTACATTTAACAGCTAATCGCGTTACCTTTAAGAAAACTGCATTCGATATCGATGTCGTATCTACGTACATCTAAATTACAATCTCTTTAGAATTAATGAGTGTGACGTAATAATGTTCGATAGTCAGTGTTATTAGCGTATACCTAAAGCGCTATGATTAATTACAAATTGCCCTCGTGTAAGTCGTCGTGTTAGTGCTGTATTGCGATCCTTCTTTCTTTAGTCTTTTTTCTTTTTGTTCACAATAGAGATCAGAGAAAGGCTGAATATAAGGAGCGATTTATGATTAATTTATAAAGGTCATAGGACATAGCGTAACTAGAAACCGATACCAGTATCTTTAAATATCTAATTGTTTGCTCAGATCTTCTACGCTTTGTCCTCGATGAAGCGCTTTCCGACAAGTATTAAGGTGATGTTCATAGGTTGAAGCCAAACATGGTGGATACAGCCGTTTGCGACGACGATCAATTAATTAAACAGCGACACACGACGCGTTACTCAAGGGCACCTGATTAATCGGGCAGTCTCAAACAGCGCAGCTACATCTCGTACATGATCTTAAAGGTTAAAGTACATTTACGCTATAGGTAATGATTAAACTTAGGTGGCGAAGTCGACTCTGCACGATAATCGAACTATTCAAGTGTAATTATGGGTTTGTAAAATGACCGGATGCCAAAAATCACTGATATTGATCGCGTCGGGGAAGATTATAACAAAAGATTTAAATAACCATCATAACACATTTCCAGGAAACAATAATCATTCGTGATATATTTTTACATAGTCTATATTTTATTTTAAATTGATTTGCATAACTCTCTTTCATATACCTGTACAGCTGCAGCTGCGTGTAGATCTTTCGATTTTTAATAAGATTATAACATGTGATCCACTTCTGCGAAATAATAATTGTTCGTAAATTGTAGTTATTTTTTTTTATATCAAGTATATTAATTTACTTTTTAAATTTATTTACGTTACTTTTCAAATCTTGTTTTATATTTATCTCACACATCTGCAGTGTATATCTTTCGATCTTAATAAGATTGTAATAAAGTAATGCACTTGTATGAAATAATAACCGTAATATATATTTTTTAGTATATTAAATTTTATTTTTAAAATTTATTTACGTAATTTTCTTCATATCTCGATTTACATTTTTATCGTGCCATACGTGTAGAGCACATGGCTGCAGCTATGCTCGTGGATGCTTAACAAGGGTTCGTCAGCGAATATACAATAGTCGATAGGTACAGCAAATCAATTTTCTGGAAATCTTAATTCGTTCATGCGTGTAACATCGCGATTCGTTACACTGGATTTTTCTCTCGCAGTATACCACATCGTGGATTAGCCTCGACACGATCGGTCGGCGGTGACGTAAAGGCACTTTGTATGCAAACCGCGTTCTCTCCTGGACTTTTTCAGCGCGATGCTGTTTCAGAAAAAAAAAAAAAAACAACTGCACAGAGATTCATTCTCGCAGAGACGAGACTGCATTCGAAAATGAATAATCCCAATGAACCGTCGACGAAACCGTTTAATGTATATCTCTGGTGTATATACAATGTATACTGTGTGTCACGCATTCCTAGATGTACTTTTCTCGTATGAGCGAACTCGTTTAGCTTTGCTAAATGACCAAAGGAGATGTCCGCAAAAGCGAAACGTTCGCGAGTGCAAACGTTCCCGTTCGGATGGATGAGATTCGCTGCGAGTATCTTCACAAGTAGCTATCGATTGCCGGTTTGCAGACAAGCGTGAACTATAAGGTAATGACAAAGGAGGGGAGGAGGGGACAATCGGAAGTGGGCCGGAAACCATCAAAGTGTAAAGGGAACGACGATAGAACATAGATTGCGCGATTAGAAAGCCGGTTCCGTATGCATACGGAGTGGCGGACTAGTTAAAAATTCGATCGATAGACCGCCTCTAACTTAACTCCCGCGTACGTTGAATAATTAAATCGCGATGGAGACCCTTTCCCTTTGGCGGCATTCTAGAAACGCTAGAGCGAAACTAGAAGTAACGTGGTTGTTGAGAAACGAGGCTGCTTTTCGTGATTTCCCAAGATAGAAAAAGTAAAATGAATCCATGTGGAAACCGATACAACTTTTCATTCCGGAAAAAGAAAGAAATCTATCCGATCCTGCTTGTTTAGATGATGTTCGTTGAAGGAAAAATCGTTAGCCTTTCTCAGACGCCAGAGAGTTCAGCGAGCATAACGAGGCGAGCGTAACGACGATCTGTACCGTTTTTGTGTTAATTGAATCGCAAGTGGCTCTTTTCCGTCGAAAATCGCTTTCGTTTGCACTGCTGTTCGGCACTTTTGTATCATTTCGTGCCGCTTTGCGCAAATTGTATCTCGTTGTCTACGTCCCGACACGCGGGAAGATTCACCCGGGAACGTTTCACTCGCTCGAGTACTACTCCAGCTTGATTATCCTTTTGATTGTGAGAGATACGCACGACTCACTTCTCTGTATTTTCATCCGAGCCTGATAACAGCACAACGACATACCTCTCCTCTTTATTCGTAAAGCTCTTTGTATGTAGCATATTCTAACGTACTCGGGGGAGTTGAAAGGGAAAATCAAGTTTTTTCGGAAACCGCGACTGGGGACGCATACGCGAGGTGTATCTCTTCGACTTCGCCATCATCTTTTGTATATGACCGCACCCCCCCCCCCTACGATTGTAAATTTTAATCCACACATTCCCGTTACTTGGTACCTGAATGAATCTCGAGCTTGTGATTTGACTAAACCGAAAAGACGAATCGATAAGAAAAAAAAAAAAAATAAAAATTAATAGATTAAAAATTAAATAAACTTTGTGAAAATCAAAAAGATCTTGCGAAATCTACGAGTTGTTATCCTGCTGGATCGCGACACAATTTACAAACTCGATGTTGTTATTTGACATTATTTCCCACTTCAAAGGGAAAGTTTCCTCGTGATTTCTAAACTAAAGAGAGGCAAGCAATAACTAACGTCGTTCCGCGTTTATTTCGAAAGGATACACCTACGTTTGGGATGAGACGGAGCAACAATATGACCGCAACCGCGAGAAACTCGCTTATCAAATCGCAAAAAGCGCGACAACACTCGCGCCATATGACGCGCGAGGGACGCAAATAGCGAGACGGAGAGACAGAAAAGATTTGGCCTAATCTACACGTCTTTATCGATGTATGTTATTTACCGTTTATCCACATGTCGCTACGATACATGAGTATCGGAACGATATATCGCGCCCGGCGGAAAGGAAAACGAGGCATATTTCTATTTAAAATTCCCGAGCGCCCGTCGCATCCACGGAGATGTACCGCGATGCGAATAACGAAGCGTTCTTCGCATCTGACATCCTGACATCGCGCGCACACTCGTTCGCACACGTAACACGTACACGTACACGTACATACACGCAACGACAGCACCGTGGCTCTCGATGCACTCTCCAGCGATGATCACGCAGATTGCGACACAAGACGCATACAAATGCGAACGATTCGACGAGCGTGAGCGCGACGTTCGCGCATCTTTTCTCGCTAAATCTCAATTATAGAAAAAAAAAGAAAAAAAAAGGAAAAAAAAACCCCTTCACAGCGTGTTGAGATAAAAAAATAACGTGGGCGTATCTTCGCCTGCACCCCTACCCGCCCCTATACATGGCATCGCTAATTACTGTCGTTGTTAACGGTTAATTGTCGACGTTACTGCAAGTACGATTATCGAGATATACAATTACTATCTCTAAATTTAGCGAGTTGCATACACTCTGATTGTAAGACACAATGCGAGATCGTGCAACGGTTCACTTTATATTTCTACATTAATACATACCTATAATAATAATAATAAAATAATAATAGTAATAATAATCTAATAATAATAATATATATACATAATATACATATACTTAGTGAGAGACGGAAGTTTGCCATCCCGTTAATAAAAAAAAATAATATATATATATAGAGCAAAGGAGTAAATATATATATAATATATATTATATATATAT